AAAAAACTCAAGGACAGTGCCCAGGATCTTAGTTCAAGCCCCCTGACTGACACAAACACACTGGAAAGAACCCAGATTTCCACCAGTCAGTGAATGGCTAAACAAAATATGAGGTATTCATGCAAGGAGACATTATTCAGTAAGGGTAGGACTATTGTTACATAGAACATGATTGAACTTCACAAACATCCTCTGAGGAGAAGCCCAATGCAAGACTGTGTGACTCACCTGTTGATGTATAGCTAGAAGCAGCTCATTTCTAGTTCACATTTCAGGCTGAGGATGGCAGTAGGAATTAACAGTTAGGCAATTAAGCATGACCAGATGCTTGGGGGCAGCTGGAAATTTTCTTGTGTGCGTGTTCTGGTCCTGGCACTGGAACTAAGGGCCTAGGCGCTGTCCCTGCGCCTTTTGCTCAAGGCTAGTGCTCTGTCACTTGAGCCACAGCTCTACTTCCAGCTTTTTGGTGGTTCATTGGAGATGAGTCTCACAGATATTCCTGCCCCTGCTGGGTTGGGACCACAGTCCTCAGGTCTCAGCCTCCTGAATAGCTAGGATTACAGGTGTGAGTCACTGTCGTCCAGATCTGGTTATCTTTTTTAGGTGGGGATCATCAGTGGTTTGTTAATTTGTTAAGGATTGTAAAACAATGATATTCTGTCATTCTTTTGTTGTTTCTTAGCTTGTATATTCCTATAAGAGAAACTTCTCATCTACTAATTGGTCACCTATTCAGAGGTACAGGTAATGTAGGCAAGGAAAAATAAATGCTTAAGATAAATCTCTCTTAGATTTGTCTGCCTGGGCTGGCTTCAAACCTGCATCCTCAGATCTCAGCTTCTTGAGTAGCTAGGATTACAGGTGTATGACACTGGCACTCAACTTCTGTTTTGGGGTGTGTGTGTGTGTGTGTATGTGTGCGCACATGTATGTGGGCACTAGTACTGTAGTTTGAACTCAGGGCCTGGGTACTGTCCCTGAGCTTTTTTGCTCAAGGCTAGATGCTCTACCATTTGGGCCACAGCTCACTTCCAGCTTTTTGCAGGTTAACTAGAGCTAAGTCTCATGTCTTACAGACTCTCCTGCCCTAGCTGGCTCAGTCCTCAGATCTCAGCCCCCTGAGTAGTAGGATTACAGGTGTGAGCCACCAGCCCTGGCAACTTGCTTTAAACTGTTACCCCTCAGCAGGAGAGTCCCCTCCTCTCATGAGGTTAAATCTGCAGGTGGATCTCTGCCCCGTTTTCCTGCCCTGCCTGCTCACATGCTGAGCTCACGCGGGGCAGCTCCAGACCCCAAACATACCTCTCTCCATTCCACTCTTACTCGTCTATCAGCAAGCCATCCTTCAATACATTTTTGTTTTCCAGTGCTGTTTTCCAGTCCTGTGCGTGCTCTACCACTGAGTCACATCCCAGCTAGCGCTTGGTGTTCTGAGGCAGGGTTTGCCAATGTTGTTCGGGCATCATAGCTGCAGACCTGTGCCAGCACACAGCTAAAGCCGGAGCTTTTCTAATTTCACCTAATGTATAGAAAATACATTTTGCTAAGCTCAGCAGTGAATGATTCACATGAACTTGAGAAGGCTGCTTTCTACTAAAGGCACCTTCCTCTATAAATTATGCACTTGGAAAATAGGGCTAGGCAAGTGCAAGTCATAAATGATTGATAATTAAGCTTTCCTAAGTGGTGAACTACATACTGCATCACTGCAGATGGTTGCTCGGTGTTGCTGTTTTGATGAGTGACTTCCCAGAGTTCCACAGTGGTTATTCTTGTTTCTAACTTCTGTGTGTGTGTGAGAGGAGGGGGAGAGGGAGAGAGGGAGAGGAAGAGAGAGGGAGTGTACTGGGGCTTGAACTCAGGGCCTCACACTCTTGCTTAGCTTTGTTGCTTGACGCTGGTACTCCTACCGCTTGAACCACACTTCCACTTTTTTTGTTGGTTAATTGGAGCTAAAGACTTTCCTGCCTGTAGCCGGGTGCCAGTGCCTCATGCCGGTAATCCTAGTTACTCAGGAGGCTGAGATCTGAGGATCATGGTTCAAAACCAGCCCAGGTAGGAAAGTCCATGAAACTTTTTTTTTTGGGGGGGGGAGGGGGTCCGGTTGTGAGGCCTGAACTCTGGGCCTGGGCACTGTCCCTCAGCTCTTCAAGTGGTAGGCTAACGCTCTACCACTTGAGCCACAGAGCCACTTCCGGCTTTTTTTTTTTTTTTTTTGCTTATGTGGTGCTGAGGAATTGAACCCAGGGCCTCATGCATGCAAGGCAAGTGCTCTACTACTGAGCCACCTTCCTAGCCCTCCATGAAACTCTTATCTTCAGTAAACCATCAGAAAACCAGAAATGGCACTGTATCTCGAGTTGTAGAGTACTCGTCTTGAGCTGAAGAGCTGAGGGACAGCGCCCAGGCCCAGAGTTCAAGCCCCATGACCAAAAAAAAAAAAAGACTTTCCTTCATGGGCTGGCTTTGAACCATGATGCTGAGATCTCAGCTTCCAGGGTAGCTAGGATTGCAAGTATTAGCCACTGTTGCTTAGCCTGTTTCTAACTTTTTTTGGGGGGGAGGGGGTCGGTCCTGGGGCTCGACCTCGGGACTTGGCCACATCCCTGAGCTGTTTTTGCTCAAGGCTAGCACTCTCACACTGGAGCTACAGATCTTCTTGTGGTTAATTGGAGTTAAGAGTTTCACACGTTTTCCTGCCTGCTCTGGTTTCAAGCTGCAATCCTCAAATCTCAGCCTCCTGAGTAGCTATGATTACAGGTGTGAGCCACTGGCACCTAGCTACTGTTTTTGCCTTTTTTTATTTTTTGGCCAGTCCTGGGCCTTGAACTCAGAACCTGTGCTGCTTTTGCTCAAGGCTAGCACTCTACCACTTGAGCCACAGCGCCACATCCAGCCTTTTCTGTTTATGTGGTATGGAGGAATAAACCCAGGGCTTGATGCATGCTAAGCAAGCACTCTACCACTAAGCCACCTTCCCAGCCCCTGTTTCTAACGTTTGGTGGATAATTTCCAACAGTTCTTCAGTGGTTGACACCATTACTTTCGCAGAATATTTTCCTGGTTGTTAATTTGAGAACTGCTTCACTTTGTGATGAGTGATTTGTGTCCACGTTGTTTAGTTTAATAGGTGTTTCCACACTGATATTCTTTTTTATTCTGTCAGTCATGGGGCTTGAACTCAGGGTCTGGGCACTGTCCCTGACTTTCTTTTTCAAGGCTAGCAGTCTACCACTTTGAGCCACAGTGCCACTTCTGGTTTTCTGGTGGCTAATTGGAGATAAAAGTCTTAAGGACTTTCCTTGCTGGGCTGGCTTTGAACCGTGATCCTCATATCTCAGCCTCCTGAGTAGCTAGGATTACAGGCATGAACCACCAGCACTCCGCTCCATAGTGAAATTCTGTGTCTAGAAAAGTAAAAAATATGTTGGGTGTGGTATCACACATCTGCAATCCTAGCATTTAGGAAGCTGAGACAGGAGGATTGTAGCCTGGGCCACATAATAAAATCCTGTCTCTAAAAACAAACAGGCTAAATGCAGGAAGGGGTGAAAGAGAAGGAAGGGGTGACATTGTTCAAAAAAAAGTACTCATTACCTGACTTATGAAATGGTAACCCCTCTATACAACACCTTATTAATAACAATAAAATTACATTATTTTAAAAAACAGGCCTCACAGCTACAAGCCCAGTTGCTTGGAGGTAGAGATGGAGAAAGTTAAGGGTGAAGCCACCCTGGACAAAAAGTTCCGACACCCCCATCTCAATCAGTATTCTGAGTATGGTGGTCCAAGCTTTTGAGCCTAGGTATGAGGAAGGTATAATACAATTGTCATAGTTCCACTCCACTGGACATGAAATATGAGACCCTATCAGAAAATACCTAAAGAAAAAAGATGGAATGCATGGCTCAAGAGGAGGGTCCTCAGCTCAAACTAGAGAGTGCTGGGAGAAAAAAAAGAAATCAGGGATTGGAATCAATGGCTCACTCCTGTAATCCTAGCTACTTACAAGAGCTGTTTGAAGCTAACCTGGTCAGGAAAGTCTGTGAGACTCTTATCTTCAATTAACTAGCAAAAAAAATGGAAGTGGAATTGTGGTTCAAATGGTAGAGTACTAGCCTTGAGTGAAAAAGCTAAGAGACAGCGCCTAGAAATAAAATACACAAACATGTTCACTAATGGGCATTATGGGTTCTTTTAGTCTTTTGGCTGATGGTATTTTTGACAGATCATAATAAATACTCTAGAACTTCAGAAGAAAATGATGATCTATTTTTTGTTTGTTACCTTGGGTTTTCCTGCTGTGATTTTGTGCCATTGTCCCAAATGAGGGAAAGGTAAATGACCCTGGCATTAGAAATGGATCTAAGCTGTGCACTGATGACTCCTGCCTGTAATCCTAGCTACTCAGGAGACTGAGCTCTGAAAATCATGGTTTGAAGCCAGCCTGGGCAGAAAAGTCCCCTTGAGACTCTTTTCACTAATTAACCATCCAAAAACTGGGAGTGGAGCTGTGGCTCAAAAGTGGTAGAGTGCTAGACAGCACCCAGGCCCTGAGTTCAAGCCCTATGATGAAAGAAAGAAAGAGAGAGAGAGAGAAAGAAAGAAAAAGAAAGAAAGAAAAGAAAGAAAGAAAGGAGAAAGGAAGAGATCTATTAATTTGTTTGAAGGCTTAACTTAAAAAAATTGTAAGGGGGCTGGGAAGGTGGCTCAGTGGTAGAGTGCTTGCCTTGCGTGCATGAGGCCCTGGGTTCCATTCCTCAGTACCACATAAGCAAAAAAAAAAGCCGGAAGTGGCGCTGTGGCTCAAGTAGTAGAGTGCTAGCCTACTAAGAGCTGAGGGACAGCGCCCAGGCCCAGAGTTCAGGCCCCACAACCGGACCCAAAAATAAATAAAAAAATAAATAAAAATTGTAAAAACTCATTATTTTTTTGCTTCATTTAATCCAGTGGCGGCTTGTCTAACTCTTTTTCTGTCTGTGCCCTCTGTAGGCAGCTATTTTGCCAGCCACTTCATCATGGGAGGAGAGAAGTTTGACTCCACACATCCAGAAGGTTACCTGTTTGGCGAGAACAGCGATCTGAACTTCCTGGGGAACAGGCCCGTGGTGGTAGGGCCATAATCTCTTTACTCTCTTTTGGGGCCCAGGGCTAACAGCCCTGTAAAATAAAATTGCATTGGCTGGCCTAGAAAAGTGTGCAAATTGGTGTGAGCTGGGAGGCGCCCTAGGAGCCATGTGTAATAGCCGTGCAGGGCTGAGGGAGGCCCTGGAAAGGCGCTTCAGGCTGGTGAGGGGAGCCCACGCTCCCCTAGCGACTCAGATTTCTCCTAAAGTCCCCTCTTCAGACAGCCCTCACTTGTCACTTACCACAAGGGCCCGTTCGTTTGTCTCTTTCTGTTTATTGTCTGCCCCCTGTGAAGGTGATGGCTGTGTTTACTGTCCAGTGCGAAACCTAAAACAAAGCCCAGTATACAATGATGAGCCCTAGTAAATATGTACTGAGTGAGTGACTGCAGAGTTGCCTTGGGTCTGTGTTGATATCAGAATATGTTTCAGGCTTTTGTTCAGCTCATTCCATAAACCAACCTTCTCATCGACCCACCTCCTTCCCTCTCTCCATTTCTCCGTTTCTCTCCCCTCCCTCCCTCCTCTCCCTGCTTCCCTCCCTCCCTCCCTCCCTCCCTCCCTCCCTTCCTTCCTTCCTTCCTTCCTTCCTTCCTTCCTTCCTTCCTTCCTTCCTTCTTTCATATCCTTATGCCTCAGCCTCTTAAGTAGCTGGAACTCTAGGCACAGGCTACTGTGCCTGCTCTGTAAACTTGTGTTGAGTCTCTTCTCTGCACTGCATCATGGGCCTGCGGTGTGGCAGTGGCTGCTGGGTGGCTCTTGAGCAGCCCTGTGTGCTTAGGAAGATCATGCAGGCGATCAGACACTGTTCCTACTGTCCACGAAAACCCACCTGGCAGAAGACTTCTTTTTTTTTTTTTTCCTGTGCAGTACTGGGGATAGAACCCATGGCTTTATACATCCTGGGCAAGCATTTGAGGCATGAACTCCATTTCCAGAGCTCAGAGGATGTGTTGTTACTGTCAGTCCATCAGTGAGAGCCTCCGGTTCCTGGCATGGCAGTAGTTAGTGAGGGGTGTGTGCTGTGTCTGAGGCCTGTTTCAGTGTCTTACTCAGGTTTTTCTCAAAGCCTGAGACTGGGCTGCCTGGCCACAAGCAGTAATGGCTCCATTGCCCCAGAAAATCATCCAGACCAATGGGGCTGACATAGCATGTCATCAGAAAATTCTGGACAGCAGTAGAGCCGAGGCGGTTGGTTCCTATAGAAATTGAGGGTTGGGCCGGGCGCTGGTGGCTCACGTCTGTAATCCTAGCTACTCAGAAGGCTGAGATCTGAGGATCGCGGTTCAAAGCCAGCCCAGGCAGGAGAGACCTTGAGACTCCTATCTCCAATAAACCACCAGAAAACCGGAAGTGGCGCTGTAGCACAAGTGGTAGAGCTCTCGCCTTGAGCTGAAGAGCTGAGGGACAGCACCCAGGCCCAGAGTTCAAGCCCCACGACCGACCAAAAAAAAAAAAAGAAATTGAGGGTTGGGGAGAGAATGGTTTTGGTGAGGGGAGGACAAGCCGGGGAGTAGAGTTAGGCAATGAAGAATGACTGGAATGGCTGGGTGGGTGGGAAAAGAGGATCTCACAGGCAGAGAACAGGCCCCAAAGCATTCATATTTGTTGTGAATCAGCAAGCATTTACTGAGCAACTACTATGTACCAGATACGGTGATGGGTGCTGTAGATAGAGCTGAAAGGAGCACGTTCGCTCCTCCCTGGGACAAATAAGGAACCTTGTCTGGCCTGATAGTTAAACAAGATCGCAGAGTTGGCCAGGCCTCCATTATTTTGAGAGGTTTTCACTCTTTCCCATAGGGAGCATTTATGATTTTAGGCATGAGCAGGAGCTAGAGAAATTGTTTTTTAGGAAGACCAGGCTGGGGGTGGCGTGTCAGCCCCATCTTCTTCTTCTTCTTCCTGAGCCCTCACGAGGCTTCTTCCACACACAGCTGCTGTTCTTTTTTTTTTTTTTTTGGGTCTGGTCGTGGGGCCTGAACTCTGGGCCTGGGTGCTGTCCCTCAGCTCTTCAGCTCAAGGCTAGCGCTCTGCCACTTGAGCCACAGCACCACTTCCGGCTTTTTTCTTTTTGCTTATGTGGTGCTGAGGAATCGAACC